AATAGAGATTAAACCCACAGCTTTTACCTCACACCTACACGCAACCATAGCCGCCCACTCAAACAGTATTACATTTCCCCAAACTCAGATGTTTTAGCCGACCCGTTGTGCTACACCAAACAAGCGTTGCTTGGTATTGACATTGACTCGGTTTGAAAGTGCTTTGGGCTCAGGCAACGCGATGAGTCACCAGAAGCTGATCTAAGAGCAGTTTGAGAAGCTCGCCTGCCCCAGGTATTGCACAAAGTCGAGGAACAGATTAGAATGCGGCAGCTCTGATCCCGTTAATATGATGCTTGTCATCTTCCTGCCATCAAATGGCAGAGTGGGTTCGGGGCTGTGGATCTTTTTTTTTTTCCTCTTCTCTCCAGTTATCTGGCTCTCAATCATCAAGTAATAATGTTATACGTTCGGTTTTTTTTGCAAGCATAGCGGACGCACTGCAGTCACATCAACAGTTTATTTGGTTGCACTTTTGTGTTCGGTTCATTTCAAGCAAGTCAGGGTTCGTACAATCACAAGACGCCCGTTAATCGGACAGACTTTTGTCGTGCCACTACGTTCGATTTTGGTTTTGTGAGACAGGAAATCATGGAGAAATAGCTGAATATGAACATTGGTCAGTGTTGCTTCGTTGCTTCGTTTCTTTTTAGCACAAGGATCTGCTGGGTTGGAACTGCGCAATGATTTTGGGGGCGTTTTCTGCATTTGATTTGGATTATTTTGTTGTGACTGAGGCTACGACCCCTCCTGGAATGTTATTTATTTATAACCGCATAGCTAAACAGTCGATTTTGAAAATGCTTTATTTACAGCGTCCTCTGGACATCACTGCCAGCTTCCATGAGAAATGCCAAACGACACAATGGTATTATTTGATGTACTGTCATTTCAGATGCTGTACAAAGTACAAACGATGAATGCCTAGACTCATATTGTGAAAAACACGATCAGTTAACTTTCATCCAGCTTCAACTGCTGCTTCCCATAACTGTAAACTGACTGTCTTAATAAAATAAATGAAACAATATCTAGAAAGCCCACAAAGAGTGCATACTTCCACTAAAGCTGCACAGTCCTGTACATCTGCAGACTGTTCGTTTGGTTAAATAAGTGCAGCGGTTTATCAGGAAACAGCAAAAACATTTGCAAGGACCTTATCTCAAAATGCTGAAAATCCCTGGATCCACTCCAAAAACGAATCACTTGTTGTTTGGCTCACTGCCGAACCTTTCCATAAACTTCATTGAAAATCTGTGCACATGGTTTTTAAGATGTCAGGCTAACAAACAAAACCCGATACCATTAACACAACTTCTTTGGCGGAGATGATGATGATTGTGTCTTCTTTGTAATTATTGTATCCTAGAGTGCAGATACACATTTTTTAAAGGAAGTCCATCTGCTTTACCAACGAGGTCCAAATATGCCGACAATAATAGGTGTTGTTGTCACAAAACCCACGAAAAATAACTCAAATATGATACGACAACTTTTGTAAAGGGCTCTGTGTGTGCGCTTGGACGGAAATGGTAACACAGACCTGCCAGCGGAATTAAATAAAAAGCTTATCTTTAAGATGATATGTATCGCTGTTGTTGTTTTTTGCATCGACGATATTGAATCATTGATCATAGAATCGATGTACCGTTCAATACATCGATCCCAACTTCTTTAAATCGAGTTTGGTCACGGTGAAGTGTACAGCAGCCGTGAAGCTATCTTTCAGGAGACAAACTCGAGGCACAAGAAAACATGTTTTCAATTTAACACACACCGGGAGTGTGAAGGAGACTTCTTCACTGTTGACAAATTCAAAAGTCTGAGGTCTGTTTTCCAGAGAAAGTGAGGAAAAGGTACACGTTGGGCTGACACACTCAGTCTGCTCTTCGATTGGCGTTTTTGGGACATTGCATTTCCAAAAACACCCTCTTCTGTCTGCTGAGGAAATGTGACCTGTAAAGTTGACAGTGGACGATCGCATACAGGTGAACTAGAGGTCTGCTGACTTTGTGTAACTAATGAGTTTGACAGCCCACCACAGACACCAGGAATATCCTCGACAGCTAAGCTCATACATTATCAATGAGCCACACGTTCTCCTCTCCTGGGAGGGAAGCAAAACGGGGTCTGTCTTTTGTATTTGTCATATCTCCTCCAGTCCACGGTGACCGCAATGTGTCTCAGACGCTTTGGCTCACAAAGGACGGATCGACACCAAGGAGCCTGGGGAATTGGAGCATTGTGGGAAATGGCTTCCCTGTGGCCATTTTGAACACGCCAGAGCATCTTCCCCGATGTGTTGTCTTCTCTTAAGCTTATCCAGAGGGGGGACTTATTTTTTTTTTTTTCTCTCACCGCGTAAGGATCATAGAGCTGCACTGACGGAGACAAGCCACCCCGTCTGATGGTTACTAAACACTGCGTGGCAGCCTCGAGCGCAGAGTCACTGAGTGAACTGTTCTGCACACGACATACAGAGCACGAGACAATATACACTGTATGCTGTCTGTAGCTTTATGTACATTTACATGCATTTTCTTTGCTTTAAAGTAACACTGTACAGCTCCAGCACATAATCACATTTTAGTGTTTTTGCAGGGTTGCATGGTTCCTCGAAGTTTTGAAGTCCATGACGGTTTCCTTTAAAGAGAAATCACGGTTTTTCACACCTTGAGTTTGTGCCTGGTGTCACCTCACGATGATCGAAGAGCAGCTCACATTGATTCAATGAGCAAGGCAGGAAATGAAATAGCAGCACAGCCAGATTAAAAAGGGAACAGGTAGTGCAGTCTGTCCCTTCTGAAAAAGAAGCACGGCTGAAGAACTTGACAGTGGAGAACGAGGATTTCATTTTGTCTGGCAATGACGAGTCAAAAGACTGCGTATGACTGATAGAGATGCAGGACGTTCTAGGAAACATAAATGTTCTTATGGAGGTAGTAATGGCGAGAAATTGTTGTAGAAAACTGCTTTGACTCAAAGTGCAGGTGAGGCTGATGGGAATGTTATTATTTTCGCAGGTATTTTGGTCAGAACCTAAAGTATTGGACAAATTCAAATATTGACCCCATGATGGCTCCATTATGTCCCCAGACTATCGATCAATATTCATCAGCGCCAAATTATATTAAGTTCTGATTTCTAAACACCTCACAGTTTAGTGAAGCCCACAGAAACATAGCCAAGCTCATATACTGTATGTACAAATGAAAATGATTGCTGTACATCTCTGAACAGTAACATTTAATCTTAATCACCCTAAACCTAAGTACGAGATTATAAATTTAATGAGACGGTGAACAAATACAGCTACTATAGCAACACTAAAACTAGAATGATACAACTTTCCATGTTTGAAGAGGTAAGTATGCTGAGGTAAGTATAGTGCAACCACAAACACCACCACACACTTACTGCACTCTGCAGAAGAGCTTTTAAGGTGAATTTCGAAGTGATTCAGCGAACAAAACTTTTCTCTGTTTTCTGCACACTGTTGATGTCAGGAGGTTACAGAGCTGTCTGGGGTCAAACTCTATGAAGCACTCGCAAATTAGCAGACACTTAGTAAAACCGCTGCCAAAACACTGACAAATTACTAAATGGAGCTTCTTTTTTTAATTTTTTTTAAATGCCCTCATAATTATGTTTACTATAAGCGATAAAAAATGAGATTCGCAGAACAACAAAATTGTGATTCTGGGAGCACTTAAAGCTTGACTTTTATTCACATGAATTGTTGTTGTTATTGTGGACCACAGGGAGCCCAGGGGATTAGTGGTACATTCTTTCTGGGGATTATCGGAGGCTGCTGAACATGAAGCCAGTTTAAAGGAGGTGTAAAGGCTCTAGGCAATGACTTCCCCTGGGGCAAAATGTGGAAACCATAGTACAGTGGGATTTTAACCCAATCGTATGGCATGAAGGATGATTAATATGCCTGCTAATGGGGGGAGGCAGGGGCATCTCTGGATGTGAGATCAGGTATGAGGTGTAAACAGCAGTGAGCACTGGAAAGTGAAGGTGAGAAGTGCACAGTGCATCAATCACTGGTGACAGCTGGGACAGACGCAGGGAGCTGCATCATCAAGAGAGGAGTGGGTGCTCCACTACGTCAAAACAAGACGGTGCTAATTAGTAATTCCTGTAAATCTATGCCTCTAACCAGGAACTAAGCAAAACCTCTCCAACCGCCCTGTATATAAAGATGTACGCTGTATAAGCAGCTGACATCATTTTCTGACCTCTAGCAACTCGTTGAGCTTCTCTGTCCCACAGTACTCACTGTCAGGAAACCAGGTACTCAAATGTGTTCCGGGAGAACCAACATTAGCGTGTTTTGTTATTTATATGCAGGCTTTATGTTCCTTTGTTGCCAAACCTGTGTTGATATTAAAGATTATTTTAGCCCCAAAGCAGTTCTCCTCTCAAAGCCCAGTCCAGTCCACTAAATATAGAAGCAACACAAATGTGGACGGTTAGTACATCATGTGTAGAACAGGGCTAATGCCTCTCATCCTCTTGACTGAATGGCCACTCCAGTCCTTCTGATCACAGCTGACTTCACTCCATTGAATTAGCACACAGCCTTCTGGGCTACAGGCTCAGGGGCCATGTTGGAGCCTCAGTGGTGAATATTAGATTGCACGCCTCCAGATCTCATTAAAGGAAGCAACAGGACAATGTCTGCATCTCAAATGAGACCAGAGGCCATCAGGCATCCTGTCTCCCTATTGGATTTACTGATTTGATTGATACTGTGTGTGTGTGTGTATGTGTGTGTGTGTGTGTGTGTGTGTGTGTGTGTGTGTGTGTGTCGGGGTCCAACAGGAGGGTAAGATGTCCTTTTCAGTAAATATAATTAGGCTACTTTTACAAATGACACAATTGGGGTAAATAGGAATTTGGGATTGTGTAGCATGCTGTAAATGGCTAACACACACACACACACACACACACACACACACACACACAGGTCATATGATAGACTCTTACAATACCTTCAGTTAGAGGGGTTCCTTCCTTTCTTGTCTTCCTTTCCAAATTGGCAGTTCTCTGAAAAATAAATATGATGGCGTCAGTGTCCATGAGCATAGAAAAAAAATCTAATTTAAAGACATGAATTACACCGAGATATAGGCATACAAGCAATTCAACCCGTATATTCCACACACAGTGTTGATGAAATGTGTCAAATGAGTCTATGAAGAACATAAGTGGGTCAATGTGTATTTTTTAACAAAGATGTCCAGTATTAGTCCTTTAATTACTTGCTTAAGTTTTAAATAACAACTACTTGCGCCTGAAGGCAGGACTGTGGATAACTGGTAGCCATTAATGAATACAGTTTAGCGCAAATAAAACGTCCTACTGTCCACTATTAAGTGAAAAGAAGTAGGCTGATTCTCCAGAGAGGTGTCATGATAGCGGATAACGCTGTAATTAAACTATTCACCATGAAATCCATCTATGTTATACACAGAAGACTCTTTTCATCCTTTTAATTGGGTCCTTATATAGAAAATACGCCCTCATGTCCTCATGCTGAAATCTCTTCTCTACACCACGTCGACATTATCGACGGACGTTATAACAGGTCTCTCTGACTCCAACGCTGTGTAAATGTAGCATGGAAAAGCTTGTGATTGAAGTTGATAAAGCCAAAGTCTCTGTGTTCATTTATAAAAAAGTTGAGGCACCGAGAGAGAACAGAGGGGATCTCATCAATCAAGAAACACGAGCATAATCTCATTCCTAATAGACGGATGGGACACTATTACCTGGCTTGTTCTTTGCGGTATTTCACTTTCCTAAATCAACTCAGACGCCTCACAAAACGTCAGTACTTCTTGAGCACAGTATGGTGTGAAATTGGGCAGAAATAATTACAAATCTGGTGTCTGTAATGAAAACATGGCTTTAACCCAACCTCAATCCTCTATTTCAGAATGTCAATAAGTCGAACGATAATTGGTGACAGGAATTGGTGGTCTCATTTGCAGGCAGCAGATGGCACACCGTGAAGCAGTAAGACATGAACAACACACTGTACGTTGGGCCACTTTAGTGGGATCAAAAGACAGACAAGCTATATGAATCAGAAGAACTATTTACACCTCTCGTACATATTCACAGAAGAGAGCCTAACTGGCAAGTTATCACAGGACTCTCTGGATTTGTAAGATTTGTAGACACCAGCAATGTCAGAAAAGGGGAGAACTTGAGCAACGCATTTGCAAGTCTTCCACAACCACTCGGTTGACTTAAATCCACATTTAATCCAATCTTGGATAAATGCCACGAATCTCAACATGTCCAACTCCAACACGGCCAGAGCCGTCTTATATACCGGCTTCATGTTTCTTAATTGGCCCTTGCAAGTATAACATATGCTGCTGTTAAAGATAAATCTGGGGAAATGATTGGATGTGAGGAAGCCAGCCCTCCAGGGAGGTGAGGTGCTACCCTCCTAAATTAGATGTAAGTGGGGTGACCAATATCACACCACGTTAGGGGGTGTAACATTTGAGCGGCACTAGCAGAGAACTGTGATGTAATGAGGCAAACTTCAGCCTAAAGTCCAAAAGTCTTTTTCCAAAACTCACAATTTAAAAAAAACGCAATATTCCTGCCAACATGTGGATAAAAGCAACGCTTCCCAACATTTACTGGAGAGAGAGGACATTGATTGGTAATAGCAGGCCAGCTCTGCTACTGATTTTCTGCCGTCTTTCAAAAGATGACGCTGTGAAAGATATAAACAGCCGCTAATTAGAGGCTGATATTTACCAGTAGACAGCAGGGGGGCTTTGAAAGCCAACTCTGTGCTTTTACTGAAAAGGTGTTTCATGAATGTGCAACAGTCATGTGGGTTCAAAAAAAACAAACGCCTCACCGTCTGCCCATTGGAAGAGGCCGCGTGGTCCAAAAATAGGCTTCGAGTGCCCGGGAATACCAGTCAGTCATTGACACCCAATAAGCGAGGTGAAGAGGGTCGTTAGACGGGACTATCTCTACAGTAGAGGGGTCAAGAATAGACCCTTTTACGCCGAGTGATGGGGACTGAGGACACCACAGCTAAACTTCACTGTGTGAGGCCTGACAATGAAATGTCTGTGCACAAAAAAATCCCATGCAGAGAATGCCCTGAAATCAACCAAAGCAGTGTTCATCTTCTTATTATCCTAATCCTGAGGAGGAAATGCTCCTAAAAACTCTCATCCGTGTGTTTTAATGCTATTTCACAGCTATTGCACCATCGCAACTTCGGTCGGGTGTCTTTCATTCTCTGCTCTCATATTCAAAAGGAGCCATCTTGTGCCGTCCTGTCTTCACAGTAATATCCCCAGCAAACATTCATCGTGGGAGCCTGCTGGAGGTGAGCTCAAACATTATTATCGCAGAGCTTTCGCTGCTCGTCTGTGGACCGAAGACGGCGGTCTCATCAGCCGCAGAGTGACCGAGCCAGACTGGAGCGGCGTCCTCTCTTCATGTTACGTCCTTATTGAGGTCCTTTCAGGCCTTCTTAGTTCTATCAACTGTGCCAAGCATGATTGTATTATGTTTGTTTTATGTATTAGTTTGAGGAAGGTTACGGTCTCATCGCTAAACAGTGATTGGATGTTTTGGTTGACCACCATTCTTTGAGGCCGAAGCTACAATAGATGTTCAAATCACATGTTTTATGTACATGATGATTTATTCAAAGCCTGATACACCAACTTTTCCACCTCAACCAAGCGTAAAATATGTTTCATGTTTGTTTTTTTATGCACAGATTGACCATCCCACCGTCCCCTTTATCTCGCTCCTCTAGACAACACATCAAATATTCTCATGTGGACACAACACGGCAAAGCTCGAATGGAATAGGAAGGACAGTCTCGTGAAAAAACACAAACACACAATATTACTCTTGGGCTCATATTGTCGTTTAGATCTCAACATCTATTTAATAAGAAGCTGAGGGGACCGATGTCTAAGGAACAATGGTAACCCTTCTGTTTAGCGGCAGGGACACAAAGCCAATATCCGGTACGGAGATATTACCCCCGGGAAGCAGAGCCTTCATCTCTCTGGAAATCTCATGTCATCCTCTCCGTAGAGTTCGAAGGCTGGATGGAGCCACTGCCATTGTTTTTGTCCTGATGCTGGTTGCTTCCTTCCCACCACACAGGCAGCGTTGTCAACAGTCAGGTCCATGGCCCACTTGAATTTGGCGAAATGAATTTGGCAGAAGGAACCCAACCAGGCTGTTAGCGAACAGCCAAAAGATGAATAAACCTCTATTCTGCCAAACCTTTTGCACAAGGGCACTTGTATGTTAGTGGGATGCCGTATGAGACCGTCTGGTATCCCCCCCTGTTTGTGAGTTGTTTACATATCATACAGGACTGATGGCTTGTTTCGTATGTGGAATGACATCTGGAGTCAACGCCTCTTCTCTCTTCTCCAGAGAAGTATTTGTGCAGACTAGGACATCATGTTTGGTTTCTGCTGACGTAGCTGAGGTACAGAAAAATAAATTATAACATGAACAAGCTATTGCATACTGGTCCTTTTACTCATTTGTGTATTGAGTAATGAGTATTAGTCATACGAGTGTTGTTACTTGTAAAGTAAGGGTCTCAGGCACAACATTGCTCACTTGTGAAGTTCAGGGAAAAAGGAACAGTCTTTATTATAAAATGTTGTATGTTGATCCTTATGAAGGGCAAAATCTAAAAGAAGTTTTTATATCCGAGCTTTTATAGTTTAAATACAGCACTTTAAAGATACTCTGAGTAAATCCTGCATATTTCATGCAAAATCCCACCTTGTGACAAACAGAATAACGACATCACGTTAATGAACAACTGTAGCTTTACGGTGGTAGTCTCATTTTCTGGTCTCACTTTACTGCAACAATATTACGCTGTCTTGATTAATTGGAGAGTTACAGTACATGTTTATTGCTCAGTATTTTAATAGTCAAGCAGCACTTTTTTTTTTTAATGACAAGTTACATTTTGCAGCAGACAGTGTAAGATCTTACGGAGTATAATTAATGTTGTTCCTGTTTCTTTAGTTTAGATTAGATGGCAGGTTGCATTATGCATGGCGGCCCCTGCCATCAGTGTATGAAGGTTGGTTTGAATGCTCTACCTGGTCGGAAGACTAGAAAGGGGCTATATAAATGTAAAAGACCATTTCCCATTTCCTTAAAATAGATTATGTTGCTACTGACAATCTGAAAGCACTCACAACCGACACTGACGGATCCATCCAAAATAAATGTACTCCAGCCATGAAAAACAACCGAAAGGACAGCCTGAAACTTCACAATAATAAGCAAGATGTGGTCAACGAAGGTCAAGGAGGATGTTCATTATTCAAAACACCATCTGGCCAAAGCAGGCAGTTTAGGTTTTGATGCCTCAGAACTCACACCTAACTAAAGCAGATATTTGAAATCAACTTCAGCAGAGAGAGACGAGACGTCTGAATCCCTCCGAGGAAACATGAAAGTTAATGTAAAACCAGCGGACACAGGAGGTCTCCGGCTGCTTGTAAACAGAAACACAGGGGTAACAACTAACAACACAAGCTCAACATGACGCATTTATAGATTTAAGCTTAAAACCTTTTTTTTTCTCCTCGACAGTGAAACCGCATAAGAGCGACTCGGACAAACTCATTTCTACACATCAGTTCTGCTCTGACTCCGTCCGTCGAGGCCGGTGGAATAACGAAATGCTATGTTTGCTTTGTTGTTTGTTTATGTGCAAATGAGAAAGAATGGGTCTCTGCTGTCAGTTACTGTATGATCTGTTGCTCCAGCCTGGCCGCGCCTGTCAGTCAACATTCCTCTCTCTTGACATGAAAACACTTGATAATCGAGCCGCTACAGATGCTGAGGAGAGAACGTACGCGGTGCTATACTAATTATGCTGCCTGACATGTCTCTTTGTCATTTGACTAAACTGCGTGACATTTAACAATAAATTGCATTTTGCTCATTTACTTAGACGAATGTGCAAGGGCAACAATCAGAATCTGAATGCTTGCAAATGAAA